AGTATCAGATGGATTTTTAAAGAAAAATTCCAGTAATGATGATTTTCAAGGCAGCCGAAAAACATTGCTGCAAAATACGTAATGCCCTGAGATTTTTGTTTGCATTCTGGATTAAACAAATTAGGACATTCCTATAGTTTGGGAGGCAGAGGTTCTTCAAGCCTCTTAAGTTCAAATTCGAGCCTTTTGTCAAATTTATCAGTAGAACTTACCTGAATAATGGTGTAACCTCTCTGTACCTCAGGTTCTCATCTATAAAATAGTGTGATATTAGTAGTGGTGTAATTATAAGAAAAAATGAGATTACAGTGCTCACCCCAGCATTTTAGAGACTACATAAATGCTCAAAAGACTCTAGAAATTATTTATATTTCCTACAAGGAAATAATGTCAAGCCTTTCTCTCCATATCAACCCTAAAATGTGTTCAAAAAATAATAAATCTATGGTTTTCTTGGTGAGCCTCCTAATAATTCTGATTTTGATCAGAAACTTTTGTACTGTTCTGATTCCCTAATATTCATAAATGAGCATAGCAATTACAATTATTTCTAAAATATGTCCAAATTTCATAATGATATAGTCCAATTTCAAAAATCATCTAGGGTACTTCTGGGAAAGGATCTTGCATTCATTTTGTTTGTTTGTTTGTTTGTTTGTTTGTTTGGTTTTGGTTCTTGAGGTTTTGTTTTATTGTTTTTTCAAAGACCCAAAGAAGATGAAATCTCTTCCACCCACTTTTGTCTCATCTGTCTGTGCTGCTTTGAACTTTGTGACTGAAAGAGCATTCAAAATGACAAAGAGAAAACAGAAAAAATTCTGGATTTAGTGATGACCCTGAGCTCCTGAATTACCAAACCAGGACTACTTGGAGCAGATCTTCCTAGGGACTTTTGTTATTCAACATAGTAAATAGTAGGGGGGAACCGTTTAAACTGGATAGGGTTAGTGCTCTGTTGTTCACCCAGCTATATCTACATCTATACAGAGTGAACTCTTTCTTTTCCTGGTCCTGAACTCACTTTGCAGCCCAGGCTGGCCTTGAACTCACAACGATCCTCCTGCCTCAAGCTCCCGAGTGCTGGGATTACAGGAGTGCACCACCACACGTGGCCTAATGTCTCTTTTTTGTTCTCCCTCTTTTTCTTAAACTCACAGTAAATATCACCATTTGTAGACAACAAACACTATTTGTATATATAATATGCTCATATGCATGGCATGACTGGAGCCAAATGTCCCCAGAAAATTGTTGACAGTCAAGTGGGCATTCAATTTCATATTCTATGCTTTAAGTAGATTTTCTCCTAGTTACCCTAGGGGAGACATCAACTGTGTAATACAGTAAAATCAACATAAATTTTAAAAACCTCAAGAAAAAATAAATTTATTAAACTCAAGAAGAAATAAATCTATTATGCTATTTAGCATTATGAAGCAAAACAAAACCTGTTTATATATATATATATATATATATGTATATATATATATATATATATTTTTTTTTTTTTTTTTTTTGGTTTTTCTCCGGTACCGGGAACCAAACTCACGACCTTGCGCTTGCCAAGCAGGCACTTTGCCGCTGAGCTAAATCCCCAGCCCCTGTTAATATATTTTTTAACATTTGCAATATTCAACCAATACTGTTGGTAAGTCTAGATTTTTTTCCCCCGGAAGTATGTAACCATGGAAAAATTTCTTCAACAATAGTTTATAAAAGTAAGTTAGATCACTGTAGTTCTAACCAGTAAAAAAGAAAGCTCCAGGGATTGTGATAGAGGACCTAGATGCAAGGATCATGAAGAACCCAAGAAACCAAACTGGTGACACTGAGAAAATCCAGAGACTGTTAACAAAAAGGGAGCCATTGGCAGACAGGCAAAAGAAGAAAATGCAGCAGGGCATGGTGGCACACACCTGTAATCCCAGTAGTGTCGTGTCGGGAGGCTGAGGCAGGAGGATCACTCTGAGCTCAAGGCTAGCCTGGGCTACCTGATGACTTCAAGGCCAGCCTGCACTACAAAATGAGACTCTGTGTCAAAAATAAAAAACAAAACAAGAAAAGGAAGAACAAGAGGAAGAGGAGGAGGAGGAGAAACAGAAGGAGAAGGAAGTAGAAAATACAGACAAGAGAAAGACTAAGAAGAGTGGTTTCTCCTCCTACCCTCCAGGCTTCTAGATCAGTTTCCCATGGTCAGTAATAGCAAGAACCCAGCTGGCACCAGTTCCCGGAAGGCACAGCCTACAAGAATCAAGGTCATGAGCCAACGGATCTGAAGACCACAGACGCACGATCTTCAAGGACTTCAGGAAACATTTCCAATTCCTGTAAGAGGTCTTCATCCACTCAGTTTAGTAATAATTTTTCCTCAGTCCCATTGAAAATACTACAGAGGAAAATGTGGGCAGAAGATATTTTTTCTACTTCAGTAGATTTCCAATCAGAATATTTAAGAATTAATTTGTTCACCTTAAAGAAAAGAGAGCTTATTCTAACTCCAGTTAGCAAATAAGATTCTCTGAAGATAAGGGTTTTTTTATTCCCCATTTTTCTTTCTTTTAGAGGGAGCTGTCTGGTGCAACACTTGAGCCAAAAGGGACAGATTCCAGTCTCACTCTTGGTTTCAGATTTTGAGAAGAAAAATTCCGTTTTAATTAAAACTGAAATCTCACAATGAGGTGAGAAGAGCACTTTCTCACTGGATTCTTTGGAAGGTCATCTTTTTCTAAGTTATGTAACTAGGAAATGAAACGGATCATCAAGAAAATTTCTTCAGCCTTTTTCATTGCCCATCAAGGAAATGTTTAGCTCATATATCAATTCACTTTTCTTCCTTTTTACTTTTCGTATGAATGATTTTTATCTACCAAACAAGATGACCCAGGGCACTATGAAATGACTTGTAAGTTGATACTAGAAAGTAGGAAAAAGAAGGAATTTTAAACAAGATGACTACAGGAGATTGAATACAAATTTGCACAGGTTGCATACTTTTTACTTTACATAGAAGATCAACAATGTGTATGTTACAGTAAAAAAAAAAAACAGAGCATGTATTTAGTGAGTGTTTGGAAACACCGTGAGAATATTCAAGTTTATAAAGCGCTTGGTCGGTTGCCTTAGATGGGTACCACTGCTTCGTGAGATGGGTTGATGAAACACCTTCATTGCTGTCAGAACTCAGTACAACAGTTCTCACTGAGCAAGAAACACTACAAAAGTATTGTTTGGCAAAAATTTAGAGTCACATTTTATATTGGTATAAATTATGCCTACGGGTCTGCATATGTGTAGAACACATACTAACTCCAAAATTTTGTATGGCTTTACTGTGAGAAGACACTCAGATCTGAGATATTGAAATATTTGAATGTACATGAGAATATTCATATATGGATGGCTCCCAGCAAGAATGAGAGAAGGAATAATAAACAGGCCTCCCAGAACACCCTGAGCATGCTATAATTATCTATTTACATGCCTGTTTCCTCTACTAAACTTTAACTTCCTTCAAATTAGGAGTTGTACCTTTTAATCTCTATCCATAGTGCTAGCATACTTGAAGACATATTGGGAATTTTAATCATGATTTTAAATAAGGGAATGATAAAATAGTGATATGTTCACTTATATTAGAATCAATCATAGATACAGTTGGAAAGGAGTAATGTCATACAATCTAATCCTCAGATTTGGGCTGAAACTCTGGCTTTTAAGGATAGCATCTCCTTTATTCTACTTGTTTAGGGAACTCCCAACATGAATGACACTTACCATGCTAATGTGCCCCTTATGGAAACATACAAAATTTGATTTTCCTTTGCCCAATACAATAATTAAATATATTTATTGAGGCAAAGTCTTAGATTTCTTATCTTGGTTTATGAATCAGTAAGATTTGTGACTTGTAATAAAATATTTGAAGCCACTTGGTAAATCATAATAATTGGCCAGCGCAGACCATTGCCATTTAGAATTTATGAAAAAAAAAAAAACTTTTAAATTGGTGCAACATGGACAAATTAATACTGCCATACATTTTTATTTATATGAAATTAAGACAAACTGTTTAAATTGTAGTTTTAAACACTACTTTTCTATCTTCTTTGATTTTTAATTCTGTAAATATTGTCATATTAAATTTCTTGAAGCAGAAATACATTACACATGCTATGAAGAATTTCTGAATAGCACAGTGCAACACACAGTGGGGTGGCTATTAGATGCTTCAACGTCCATTTGCTATTGGTATTTGGCTATTTCAACGACACACTTGTCCTAATCTATATAAAATAAGTTTTCTTCCTAATTTGGTTTTGTGACCTCCTCTCTCTAGTATAATTTTCCTCACCAGTTTTTAAAATTGCTAAACCAATAGTCATAAGAAATAAATAGACTAGTCCCTATATGAGAGTTTTCATTGCCACATCGTACATACAGAGTGTATGGATGATCCATCCCAATCGCCCTGCAAGGGAAATGACCTCACTTCCAGCACCTACAGGAGTCTCTGGCCTGGGTCCCAGGACAGCCTAATTAGATCCAGGTAATTGCATGGATGAGCGTGTTAGCCAAGGGCAACAGAGTCACACGCCTGCCGACGGCATTTGAAGTGGCCTAGACTGAAGAAGAAGAAGAAAAAAAGGAGGAAGAGGAGGAGGAGGACGACGAAGAGCAGGAGGAGGAGTCGTTCAGATTGCTTCTCTCAAGTGGCACCATAAAAGGATGGGTCAGGACAGCTCATTTTTATATAAGTGAAAGTAATAGTAGAGCAGAAAAAGCAGAGAAGAGAGGAAAAGAAAGGGGCTTCCCAGCAGGGGCAGAGATGCTCCCGAACAGAGACCGTAAACCCCCAGGAAGCCTGAAGTTACCGGTCTCAGCATCGCTCCTTTCCTTGCCACTACATTCAGTTTTACCCAGTGTGTCCTTCCAACAGTTTCCCAAAAGCGAATAGCTTGCTTGTCTGGTAGTAAACACGGGACATCAGAAAAACAAACAAAGCGTTTACATACAATTTTTATTTCTTAAAAAGCCACTGTAATACCAATAATGTTGTGCTGACTAGAGAACTTGACTTTTCCTGAGATGTACACTGGCATTCACATATGGCTTTTCACAGCTGGTATGTGTATAGCCTGCATTTTTTCTGACTTGAATGTCATGAACGCATTTCCATACCTGTAAATATAACATTGTGGGGTTAGTTCTGATGGTTCATTATATTCCATTGTATCCACATACCACGATGTCTATCAGAAATGCCTTCATGGCAGACATTTATATAGTTTCAAATTTTACTTCATAATAAATAAGTCTGCAATAACTCTACTCAGGCATTCTACATATTTTTACATGTATTTTTATTTAATTGTTTTCTTAAACTTTCTGAAATGTAAAACTCTTAGGAAAATGGTACACTTTTTATATTTATTTATTTTTATATTTTCACAAAAGTGTAAACATTGTACATTTAAATTTTTGAGTCAATTATAATGTTAGTAGTTTACATCACAAGATGTTCATTCTCTCAGGCCATTACTAACAAAAAAGCATTGGTCTTTTCCTATTAGAGGTGAAAAAAATGCTATCTTATCCTATTGTAATTTGTTTTACCTTGATAATTAATAATGTCTTTGAGTATTTGTATTTATTCTCTTATGACATACTTGTTCATAAATTTTGCCCACTTTGCTACAAGAATGTTGATTATTTTCTTATTGATTTAAAGTTTTTTATGTTAAGATTAACAGAAAGGATTAATAGTTTGTCTAGCACATGCATTGTGTATATTTTGTTGGTATATTTGCCTTTTAAATTGCTTCAATTATCTTTTGTAATCAAAAGTTTAAAATGTTTTATGATTCCTGGTCTTTTTGTGGTTTTACCAAATATATACACCTTCATTTGCTTTTAGGGCGTTTATGGATTCACTTTTTACATTTATATGTTTAAATTATCTGAAATGTATCTTGATATGACTGAACTAAAGATCCAATTTAATTTTTGCTGCAATTTATAGTTAGGCCAGCACCATTTATTGAATAATATATTGGTTTTCCTCTGGCTGATTCAAAATGCTATGTTTATCATGTACTAATTTCCATGATGTATTTGGAATGACTGTAGCACTATAGTAAAGCAGTTTGTCCTTAGAATTAGAAAGACTTATGTTCATTCAGATCAATAGCGTACCTTTGGGTGAGTTACTAAATCAGCTTGTCTGAACCTTTGTTTCTTTATGTGAAATCTAGAGATAACAACACCTTATAGGACCACGCAAGGACTAAGTGATAAAATGTATGCAGAGCACTCACCTCTGTATCTAGAATTATGGAAATTTCAGTAAAATTCATTACTAGCTACACTTGGACTTACTGCTTGATTTTCTTTTTGTATGTATCAACTTGTCTGTTCTTGTGCCTATAACTCGCTCTTAATGATTATCTTTACAATATAGTTTCATATCTACTGGTGACAATATCTTACATTAATCTTTTCCTAGAATTATCCTGAAGTTATCATATAATTAATTTTTTAGAAAACTCTACTCCTTTCAAGTACTGTGAATGGTCTAATTAAAATAACAGATACTCTCTTTGAGCTTCAGTTTAAACATACACAAACTGGGTATAATATATATTTCTAGATCTTATTGTGAAGACGGGATGCAAATACAAATAAGTTGTATAGTGGAATATCTGAAGCAGAGATGTTAAAGAATTAGCAACATGATGATGATGGTGATCTTTGATTTATTATTTATCATAATATTCAGGTAAATTATTACCACACTACTTTCATGTTTTATTAAAAAATGGAAAGCAGAATCCTAGACTGATAATGATTAGTGTGCAAACATAAGTTCCAACAGTAAACTTAACAGGACAAAAGATTCCACAGTGCACACTGCTAGAGACACGGGTTTAGTACCACAATTGTTAGGATACATTGCTGGAGAAGGAAGAAAAGGAAGAGGAGAACATGGGCATCTCAACTCCTATTACTCCACTAGAGTCCAAGGAAAACAAATATTTCATGCCAAAACTGCATATATCTAGGTGGCATATTATTACCTTTACCCAAATATATGCATGTAAGGACACAAACGGAGTGGAGCGAATTTGCTACACGTATGACACTATGTCTAAGAGGTAAAAGTAAGTATATACTCTTTTTAAGTATGCTGCTCAACACCAAATTAGAAGTGTGTTGAGAAAAGTAATCAACAAATCACTCTCTAAAGGTTATAAAATCTCTGGAAAATACTAAAAATGATTGGGTTTCTCTTCATTCATTCATTCATTCATCCATCCATTCACTTTCTAATTCATTCAATAACCATAAGCTCGTTACAATTCAGTAGGTCATGAGGAAAAAAATAAAATGATCTTGTTCTTTTTCTCTAACCTCTGAAAAAAAGAATTTGAAAATCCTAGTCAAGATAAATAGCAAAAGTGTTGTTAATTTTAATGACTCTTCCAGGGAAAGGAATTCCTCATCCAAGCCACCCACACAAAGTACCTAAGGAAGAGTATCTTCTCACTTGGAGCGTCAATCTACTAGTTAAGAAGTAAAAACCAGAAATAAGAGCGAGGGACAAACCCTTTTGTTAGTGGTGGTGGTGGTGAAGGTGGTGGTGATGGTGGTGGTTTTCTATTTTAGCAAATGCATTGCAGCCCAATTGATGCTAGATATAAGAATTTAAACTGCCTTCAATGCACTGCATAATATGCCATGTAGGTAACTGTGAATGTTGCAAGCGGTCACCTTACTTTTCGGTTCTGAGGTTATGTTCACAAAGAGAACTGCAGTTGGTATCACGTTGCACAAGCTCCCTGAGCTCCGGAGAGAATAATGACACGAATCAATAATGCTGTCTGGGAAATGGCTTAGAATAAAATATTACAGAAGGGCACAAACATCACCCAGAGGGAGACTTCAGGGCTGATTAAATATGGCTGCCTCAGCTCTCTTCCATGCAGTGACAGATGGGGTAGGAGTGCTTACTTTGGCTTTCGCTGCATTTTACTGTACTAAGGTTACTCAGGTAGCCTGAAAACACCGCAGCGTGCGCCAGTTCTTTCAGCGTCGCTGTGCTTGGACGCCCCCTGCAGGCTAAAACTGTAAACACAAGCAAAGAATTTCCTCTTCACCCCTTTCAACACAAGGCAGAACTTAAAAGGAGTTTCAAGTCTTGATTCTTTTCAAAGCAAAAAGAAACCAATAAATGGAATAAAGCACTTACATATTGAGTTCTTTTCTCAAATTCCCGTATCCAGAGGACACAAAAAGGTAGTTCACTTTTTTGAGTTAACAAAATTTCTTAAATCGTGTACAAAGAATTAACAAAGTACTCCAAATAGAAATTAGAATTTAAAGACTACATAAATGTCAACTTTAAATCATGTTTAAGTGCATAAAAGAAAGTACACAAACCTACACTGCCAAGTGTCAATAAACTGTTCTTCGTCTATTTCCTCATGTGTGAACTACTAAGTTTTGAAAACATATCTTGCCATGCCACAAAAAACATAACATTCCCCAATTTGGCTATAAACTTATTATAGTGCTGAGCTAAAAAAGAATTAATGCCACTTATTCTACAATAAGAGGTATCTTGCCAACCCTTTTATTTTCTCTTTTCATAAAAACAAAAAAGAGAATAACCAAAACTTACTGCCTCCTTGGAAGTAAGAATTGTGGGTGGTAGAGACATAAGCTATCAGTGACTTGGACACTGGCATTTCTCTGTGTGCGAGGGCTGGTGTCCCTGGGTACCCCGTGATTGGAGACACGGGTCCAGGAACCTTGCTGCATACTCAGCTCTGTTATAAATTTGATTGAAACCATTAGCTAGAATATAATGAATTCCATGTGTCAGCCTTATTTGGCATTTTAAAAAAAGATAGGGTTTTTAGAACACATAGTTGTGATAAACCCACAACAGATAATTTATGTTTATCTCTTTTTTTAAATGGGGAGTCTTCCAAATACATATTTCAAGCAGTCCAATGAGTATTTAGATATTAACAGTTAGTAACAACTTTGCTCTATAAATTTATACTTTTGGCCAATTTTTCTAATACCGTTCTCCTTGAGAATTTCCAGTATCTTTCTGGCAGGAAAACAGATTAATTTTTTTCAGGCCACTTAAGCCAAAAAACTTTTTGTTGATACCTAGACATATTTGGAACTGTTCCTTGAATGTATCCCTTGAACCTTGTAGCAGTTGATTAGTAAGCATTTTGTGCTATCCATCTAAAGTCCCCAAACTCAGCCTTAAAAACATGTATATTTAACACTTTTATGTCCATCTTAAAGAAATTATCTTTGCTCAAAAGAAATTTTTAGCCAGTATCATATATGAAAACTGAAGGAGAATCAACTATAACTTGGAAACATCAAAGGATGATAAATCTAAAATAAAGTGGTCAGTCACGAAAGTTTCTAATTCAGATAATTAGGTAAAGATGCTAAATCACATCTTTCAACAAAAGATTTTCTCTAAAGATCCAGTCAGTTATGCTTTTCTTAAAATTTGACATACAGCAATGAAAAGAAGTACATGGTATGATCAAAAATATGGTGAATGCTTAAACTTTAAAAATTTATTTCAGCCAGGCATGGTGACTCACACCTGTAATCCCAGCACTCAGGAGGCTGAGGCAGGAGGATCATTGTGAGGTCGAGGCCAGCTTGGGATACAAAGTGAGCTCAAGGCCAGCCTGAACTTCATAGCAAGACCTTGTCTCAAAAAGATCAAAAAAATAAAAAAAAATTTAAAATAAATAAAAATTTATTTCAGTTAAAGACACACTGGCATCCATCCACCTCAAAATATTCCACCTCACATTGAACACACTTATCCTATCATACTTGCTAGTTGCTGAAGCCCTTTACAGTGTATGTTTATGGCAATTTCTCACATAAAAACATCATGGTATGTCTTCATCTACCGCATTCACCATATCTGGCACTGTGTGACTTCTGGCTCTTCCTCAAAGTCAAAATGAACATGAAAGGCAAACATCCTGAATCATTGCAAGACAGAGGCAGCCATAATAACGCAACTAAAATGACGTTCACAAAAGAGGACTTTCAGACCTGTTTCAGAAAGTGGCAAGAACAATGGGATAAGTGTGTTTGAAGTGAAAGGGAGTATTTTGTTGGGGATTAATGGCAATATTTCTTTCTCTGTAAAAATTTTCATTTTAAATATTTATGATTTTTTATTATACCTCATACAGATCTATCCCATACAATTCCCTCAATTCATTTTTTGGTAATCAGACATCCTGCAAGAAATCAGTAATTGAAAGCCAATTTTCTATTACTCTAAATGGAAAAAAAATGTGTCACATATTAACCCCCAAACCACCAATATAAGATTCCTATATATCAGTAACAAACACTAAGTTAGAATATAAAAGGCTTAAAACACCAATTGCTAATCGCTCAACAGTTAATACTGCAGTTCACACAGAGGTGTCGTGTTGGAATAAGGTAGCCTTCCTTAAAGGCGAAAGATTTATGCGATCTGAAGAGAAACCAGAGTATGGTAGCCTTCCTTAAAACCAAGCAGCTCCTACATGTAATTCTGATGGTTTTGTAGATGGAATATAACATGAGAATTTTCTTACACATAAGTTTGAGGGAGCAATTATTTTTCCTTTAAAAACATGAAATGTTGTTGTACTGAGAAGATATCCATAGTTGGTTAATAGAAACCAAAGACATTCTCTCAGAAAAACACTAAGTCGGCGAAAGACTCCCTGCAAAGTTTACCTGGCCAGCAGGACCCAGTAATATTTGGGGCCACCGCTGGAGGCGCTAATTGCTATCTTTCTGGACAGCCGCAAGCCCCAGCTGCATGACTCTATAATCACAAGAGCACACAGCCTTTGCCACCAGTATTCATTTTCTGAAGCTGTCATAACAAACTACCATAAATGCAGTGACTTAACGCAACAGAACTTCATTCTCTGACAGCTCTGGGGTCTGAAGTCTGAAGTCAAGTGTCAGCAGGGCATTTCTCTGAGGTAGAATCTGATCCATGCTTATCTCCAAGCTTCAGGTAGCTTTGAGCAGCGCTTGACATTCCTTGGCTTGTGGGCACATCCCTTCAACCTATCTCCATCTTCAGAGTTCCTTCTCCCCTCTTCTCTAATTCCTGATGTGCTCGTGTTGAACATTAACTTAATCACATCAGCAAAGACACTTTTCCCAAGGAAGCTCATTCAGAGGTTGGGTGGACATCTCTCTGACAAGGAGAGGGACACATTCACCCCACGACACCAGCCAAGCTTGATTCATCTGCTACTATGTCAGCTCTACTGGAAATCAAACTCTCCCCATTTGTGCTACTACCTCTGTCCTCATCATCATTGGCTGGCAAAGGCTGAGCTTTATTTACATCTTTACTGGAAATATCTGAGGTAACTAACTCTGCAGGATTTAAGCAACCACAGCGTACATATCTAAAACTGATCTGAATGAGTCAGGGCCCTGTGGGCCTCCCCGTGAGTGACCCTGGGGCAGCCCAGGCAGGGTCTCTCTGGAAATGTGTCAGGAATTCCTGCGGTTTTTCTGACTTCCTGTCCTCGAACTGCCTCTACCACACCCCCATCAAAGGAGCCAACTAAAAATCGTAAGTGAGAAATAGTGTACTGAAAAACAAAAACAAGGAGTGATCTCCCCAAGTAGCATGTTTGAGGGCTCTCTAGATTTTATCACAAATGACTTAGGCAAAATTAGTGTGCTTAGAATAGTTCACCAAGAAAACAACCCCACAAGCTTGACCTTGTTTTTTTTTCACATAGGAAATAAAATTAGTACATGATGTTTACAAACATGGACAGATAAAGAGTTCATTCAGTTTCATCAGCACGTATTTATTAGACACTGCATGCATATGATATGCCAACGAATATTCATAGAAGTCGCTGTGGAAGCATTTTGTTCTTATCAACTGACTTGGCCCTTCTGGGGTCTCCCCTCCCCACCCTCCTTCCCCCCACCTTTTTATTTTTTTTAAATAAAGTTTTCTTTCAAGTCCTCTACTGTTACAGTGTTTCAGCCATCAAAGTCCCCTCCTGGCCATTTTCATTTACCTTGTGACTCTGACCCTTTGTGAAGCTGAGCATTTTCGGAGAAAGCTGATCCTCCCGGTCCCCAAGGATGTTTTTCTCATTTATTCACGCAGCCCTTTGAATGGAGCAGTCCTCGCTTGGCAGCCGTTCAGCAGGCCAGGATTCAAAGAGCACACAGTCCTTTTTCTTCCCGGGGCCTTTCAAAACACGGCCCTAGGTTTGTCGAGGAGTTTTAATGGATGTCAGTCATTTAGCATGTTACATTTCATTCATGGCTGCCAGCGAGCGCGGCGAGTGGAGCGGGAATAAAGAGAATAGGCAGACAGCGCGGCGAAGGGATCGCTCTCCAAGCCCCTTGTGACGCGACGTTCTAGACGGCGCTTTGGAGCTGCCATGACTCATGAGGAGGAGTTGAAATAGAGGAGTTAATGTGCTTGTATTTAAAGCCTCGCCAAAGCCTCCCGGACAACTTCAGAGCCAAGATTTCAGGAAACCTGGGATCAGTGTGAAATGTGGGTGCCCTGGACCGAAGACAGCTGCGGTGCAGGGGGCCTGGTTTCCACCCCAGGGGGTGATGGGAGGATGGAGCCCTTGTGTGCCATCTGCACGGTCACCTCTGACAGCTGACTCTCTGTTTCCTGAACTTCAGAAATGTTTGGGGACAGTCTCTGGAGACCGCAGAGACCCGCGGCCCAGGACGGGGACAGAGAAGCTCAGTGACAGTCCCAGGGGACAGGGAGGGGGCTGAGGCTGCGGCTGGGGGATGCACACCTCTATACCTGCCAACTGGTGTGTCACAGCGGGGCTAAAATTACTGGCTGGTCAATTATCTGATTAAAGAGAACCTTTCATTTGAGGCTTTTTCCCCTTAATCCAGGCTGAAATCTAAACCTTCTAGTAAGTTACCCAAACTTTTTTTTTAACTTGGGCATAATCAACATTTAGTGGAAAAAAAATGATTAAAAAAAAAAAAAAAAGTACAGGGAGAAACACTTTGTTACTGGCTACAAGCCAAAAAATGCTGTGAGAGTTTCTTTCTTTTTCTTTTCTATATCTTTTTTTTTTCTTTGTGATAAGACATCAGAATTATGTACTTGAAACTACTGGCATCGGATTTAATCTTATTTATCTTCACACACACACAGAGCAAGTGAGAGAGAGAAAGGCAACAGGCTAATTATATTTTAAATTAGTAAAATCAGTTGATTTAATAAGGTACCAGTGTCCCCTAAAAGCGATTCATTTTTTTATCAGCTTTACAGTTGTATTGAAATCCCCTTCTGTTCTAGAGTTCGTGAATTATGCTTGTGTCGGGCAACATCAGAACTACGCTTTTATGGCCCTTGGATTCCACAGAGGCTGTTGTGGTTTGAAAATAACAGAACAATGTGCTGCCGCTTCACCAGCCAGTTAATGACCTGCCCCACAGTTAAAGGCCCCAAACCACACAGGGCACCCTGAGCGGAGGCAGCCCGGCCAAGGCTGCTGGCAGCAACCTCGCAAAGACAGGAAAAGCATTCCACATTTCTGTATTCGACGCATACTAAGTCCACTGCTTGAAGTTTTACTAATAATTTCTCCACAGTGTATGCTGTCCTGTTTGCTTTAATGAAACAATGGGAGAGCGTAGGGAGAGAAAGGAGAGAGAAAGAGAGGACAAATTTACAGAATGTGCAAGCAGCACTACATAAGAAAAAGCCGAAGTGCCAAACCTACCCCAAGAACCTTCTGAGTCTCTAAATGAAAACTGGAAGCTTTCAAGAGTAGAAAAGAATCCTGGGCTGGGAGTGCAGCTCAGTGGAAAATGGAAAATGGGGAGAAGGTATGGGAGAAAGAGGAAAGAAGAAAGGGAGGAAAAGGAGGAGGAGGAAGTAGAGGAGAAAGAAAAGAAAGAAGGGTGGGGAAGAGCAAAGCAGGAAGCAAGGAAGAGAAGGCTGACACCACTTTTGCAGCTCTTCAATTCATGATCCGTGTACAGACAGCAGTGTGAGTGAACGACGTACACTAAAGAATATAATATTTACTAACTGACATACAACAATCTTCAGAACATTGTATAAAGGTGAATGCTGACAGCTGTCATTTTTAATGTTCTTTCCATACAACATCTCTCTTCTACCTCTCCCGAGAAATGACACACACCTCTGCAACATGGCAACTGCCATCAAGACAAAAACCACTCATGTGTGCACTGCACTCTGCCTCCAGCGTACTTGGTACAGGAAGTATATGGAAATAGTATGGTAGAGTCCACCTCGGATGTGCAAGGAGTTCCGCTTCACCACACTTTTCTGCCATTGAGCCACTCTGTGGATGAAGAGCTTTCATTGTTACAAAAGCATTTTTTTGTAGAAGCCTAAATTCATCACTCTATTCCCTCCCCAGTTCTTCTTAGTTCTATAGCTATGTAGAAATATCTATTCCCTTCCTCTGTAGAGCAGCCTTTGAAATTCCTGACAAAACTTGTCATTCTCCGGGCAGGACGAACACATTCCCCCAGTTCTCCCTTGCATGGTTTTGGACCCTGCACCATCCCTCCCTTGAACATGTGATCTCAAATGCCCTCTTAAGATGTTGTGCCCAGGACTCAGCGGAGCACATCCCCAGCGACCAGCTGTGAATGCAGTTAGTGATTCCTTTGATGCGGACACCCTATTTCAACTAATAGAGTCTAAGTCTGAGATGTTTATCAGCCGATTCACACGCTTGGGTTACATCAACGTGAATTAACACCAAAAGTATTTTTTTCCTTCACTACCAAATCAGATATTCGCCACTTATTACACACACACAGATTGATTATTTGAACCTCAATATCAGGTTTTACACATTTATCATTTTGAATTTCAACTTATTTGTTTCAACTACTCTCTAGAGCATGAATTATGTTAATGAATGATTTCTCCCACTCATTAGATAATATTCCTAATTTTGTATTGCCTGCAGTTTTGATATTTTTTTCATCCAAGACATTAAACAAAAGAGAAAAAAAGTGCCTTTATACAGACTTCAGTGAAATACGTGACACATACCAACCAGTCAATAAACATTGCAGATTAATGTCACCAAAACCCTACAGATTTGTTCCTCTTGTTTAGCATCAATTCCTTCTCTCAGGAAAACAACTCAGAAAAAACCTGTCAAATAAAAACCAAGAAATATCATAAAGGAAAGAGAGGCAAAAAGGTGAAAATAAAGGTGCATCCAAGGTGAAGTACATCCCACTGGTAGAATGTTTGCCTAGTACAGGCCCTGGGTTCAGTCCCCAGCACACCAAAAAAGGAAAGTATCCAATTCATTTGCCCTCACAAGACATCAATATACCCATGTCCAGCAGCTGGGTGACCGTCAGAAAGCTGCCCAGCTCTTGCCCTCGAAGTTCACTCTGGGACGTGCACCTGTCTGGTGCTCATCTCCATCTTTAATAAACAAAAACAATAACTAATATATTTACAGTGTATGAGGGTTTGCATTTTATTTAAATGAACAATATTCCCCGGATGTCCAAGTCAGTATACAGTGGTCAGGAATGACTATGACAAGGATTAGCCATCTGTGCTTTAGGAAAATAACTATTACACCATGGTGTGATAGCACACTACAGAAAGTTTCTTGCCCACTACAGCTGCACCTATGAGCACCTTGAAGCAAATGCCCTGCAGTGAAATATTTGAAAAGCTTACCATTGTACATTTTGAAGTATGTTTAAAGTATTATCAAAACAACTGAAAAGCTCCTGGTATCTGGTTACTACTATAATTGTTCCATTTCTTTGTTCCTTCCATATACCTGCATTAATTTTGTACTTGCAAGGTACGTAAGTAGTCTTTCTAGTGTGTGCTTCTGGGGTGTGTTAGATGGTTCTAACTGAACGAGGCTTTTGTAGAGTAGCATGCTATATATTCTATCTTCCCTCACTGCCCAGCCGTGTTGTGCAAAAAGGCAAAGACAGTAACTTCTCAGGAAAATAGAATTTATAATATAGAAGGAATACAGAGTTATAAATGTTAGATCTCCTCAAAAATCATATATTATGTGACTTTTTAAATATATTATTAATATATTATTAATTAAAATTAATCAGAGTCCAAGGAAGAGATTGGGACATACAGTCTAAAATTAAAGGTATTGTTTACCTTTCTACCAATATTTTCTATTTCTTTATAATGCATTAAGGTACTAATTTTCTGCTCTTATCTATATTTCCTATAAGAAAAAACAAAATTCTTATGTAATATCAAATGTGTCAGCATGGTTCCCTAATTAACTTATTGGAAAAGCCTACACACATCAACTTCTCAGGTATGAGAATAGGGTGGAGAGGGCTTCTCTTCGCAGCAGGACACACCTGATGCACCTGTCATGGTGGAGCCTCCCACTTCTCCAATGGCCTGAAGCAACCTGGGTCCCGTCCTGCATGCACCTCTCCATTTCACTGGTGACCACACTTCCAAGATCCAGAGGGGGATGACGAGCTACCATCTTGTTCACCGACCTGAGAGTGCTACCATTAGCAAGGTATGAATGGGAACAAAGGGCGAGCTGGAGCCCTTGCTGGTCCAGGCCTTCGTTCCGCCACAGCCTCCTTCCAGTCCCTTCACTGCATGGCTCCTGCCTTCAGTGAATAAAGGAGTGTGTGTGTGTGTGTGTGTGTGTGTGTGTGTGTGTGTGTAAGAGAGAGAGATTCCGGTTATTGAGTCCTTGATGTCAACAGACATCAGCTGCTTTTAACACCTGCTCACAAAAGAAAGCTAGAGGAAGTTCTTCCAAGTAAAGACACTGGACCAAAAGGAGCAGCTTTAGGCAGTATCATTTCCCTATCACTTTGGTTTTCTCAAGCTCTTTGTGGGAAAAGAGAGCGAGGTCTTGCTAGCTCCACTTCTGCTGCGAATCTCCTTCCGCCCTATTGGTAAACGATTTTTCTTATTCTCCTATTATTATTTTATATATTTAAATATGTCCTGATAAATTAATTTCTTACACTTTCCTTCGTGAAATGGATCTGATTTGTTCATGACTTGATTTTTACTTAGTAATTCCTGTGTACTGAAACCTGTCACTCCAGAATTTGAAATTCTTTCCTATTACTCTTATAAACATTTCACATTTACTTCTCTTACTTTATTCATTTGAATGTTTTATTTTTATTTAATGAAAACAATCCACCCACCCCCAAATATAGAACAAGCAGACAACTTTCTTGAGAGTTTATAGGAGACAGAAATGTTTTATTACTGACAACAATTCTATAACATAGTTACTATAGTTATCATCACAATACACAATATAGTGCTTCAGAAGGTGGAAATCATCTTTCCAAGATCATCTGGCTAAAATATATGAAGCTAGGAGATGAAGTACAAGTCTGCTCAGTGTAACTGGG